TATAGATGATCAGATATTTCTTTATTTTTCAGGAAAGCACTTGATCTAGTTTCCTGATTTCTGGATTATGTAGATCCAATTTGCGATTGTGACGTGTTCATGTCGTCATTATTTACAATTTGATAAGAAAAAGACGTCTGAGTATATATTATGACGCTATTTTGGTTTAATCTAACTTTAATTAAAACATAAGAATATGATATTCATTAACTCAGTCCATACCTTTCTTAGTTTCGAAATCCGTTAAATACTCGAGTTCGACAATATGTCCAGCTGTTTATAAAATATCATACCCTCTATCCAATATTCTTAGGAATGGGGAATTAAAAAGAATTTATTTCTAGTTAAAGAAGTTCAGCTTTCTTCCACTTCACTTAACTAACTTCAAGCAGATTTTGTGTCTTTCGCTATGAAATTTATACAATATGGTTCCTGAAATAGCATTACTGTTTCCATGATATTATACTTATGGTACTAAAAGCTACATATATATATTATTATCATACTGCTTGTCATCTTACCGGTGGATGACAGCAACTTATTTATGCATATTATTAGTATCTTTGTAATTTAAATAAAGACCGTGACGATTTTATTGACAACCGTCAAATCACAATTAATGCAATATGTTTTCAGTTCCTTTAATGAAAAAAATCAAACAAAAATTTAAAAGTTTCAATTTATGAAAAACAATCACAGAATCTGGAAAAAATTGCGGAGTAGGGGAAAATGTTTGTTATGCTATCAAATAAATTGCCAAAGGTATCAAATGCAAAGCATCGTTGCACTCAAACTGTCGTGTCATCATAATAAGGATGTCACACGCATTACATAGTGCTTACAATAAGGATAACGGGGATGAGCAGAGAAACTGTCAACAAGGATAACATTACGGTTACACAATCTTTACCACCGGGAAAAATTACTTTTATGAATAAATTGGTGCATTGGGCTGTCACAATGCAATTTAGGTAAACGAAGCGCAGCTTTGAATTTAATATATACAAAGCAAAACCTTTCCATGCATTTGCGGAAGATGAGAGTTGAAAAAAGTTAATAATTATGTATATGAAAAATATACAAACACTCCTCAGCGGTAGACCAGGGTAGAAACCAACACAGACAAACATAAATGACCCAAAACAAGCATAAACATTATGGCAAATGGGCATGTAACAAATGGGATGACAGAAAATGGAGTTATCACCTTGAAGGTAGGGTGCCGGAGATTTTTTTTGTTTAAAATTTATTTTTTTTTATTGTAAAATGTCTAGAAAAATCCCAAAACTAATAAAATTATGGGAATAAATATGTAATAAAAATTTATAATTAACTAAAGGGGAAGAAAATAAATACCAAATAAATTTAAATAATTTAATTTTTTTTCTAATTTAATGATTGCATTTAGACGATAGAAACAGGCATTAATGGAAAGATTAAAATTAAATAAAAATTATTAAAAGTATATAGACAATAAATAGAAACATTAAATTAAAATGAATTTTTTTAAAGTGAGCTATTCCAGCTTATATTTAGTTCATTTGTATTATAGAGATTAAAAAAATTGTGTCAACTTTAGATACTTTAGCTGAGACTTCTAGAATTATTAACCCGGCTGTATAGTAGTTATATTAAATACTTATGCTACTTATACTTATGATGAGATAATTGGGCATTTACCTATTCTATTTATTTAATTTTCTATCTATTTTCAATCTCTATCTATTTTTATTCCACAAAGCGTGACTTGCAGTATTTCAATAGGGAAGGTTCTATAAAGTAGACTTCAGATACTTAAGTTGAGATTTCTAGAATTATTAACCCGACTGTATAGTAGCTAATCAAATACTTATGTTACTTATACTTATGATGAGATAATTGGATAATTATCTATTCTACTTATTCAATTTTCTATCTATTTTTTATTTCTATATATTTATATTCCATATAGCGTAACTTGCAGTATTTCAATAGGGAAGGTTCTATTCGTGACTTGCAGCACATCAATGGAGAAGGTTCTATAAGTTACATATATACTTACATATGTTACATATATATTATATATATATATATATAACATATATATTATATACATGTATATTATATATGTATATAATATACATATATATTATATACTATGTATTACATATAGTTACACATATACTTAATCAATTTGAGAAAAACCATTGATCTCGCTATATTTGTGAATCTCTTGTTTGTCAATAAAATCAATATCATATACATATAATATATCTCATTGTATTTAAAACTGTTCAGGAAAAAATAATTAAATAAAATTTAGGTCAAGAGAATAACATTTGAGTAAATAATATTTCATATATAATTATATATCGTAGCATACAGGTGAAATTTGTCTCAGATATATAAGTGTTAGGTAGGAAAATTATCATAGAAAAATAATCTATAATTATAATAATAAAAAGTGGTTTTAATTACACATACAAATTGATTTAAATAATAGTTTCCACACATATCATTAATTAAGAAAAATTTAATTGCATTATTTAAATTAACACGAAACTATTAATTACATACGATTTGTAGTCAATTATATTTTCCAATAATTAACATAATTATATATAATTTACATAGTCAGCTATAACTTAAGTGTAGAGTACTTGAACTTCGGCAATGCCATTGCCTCCTAAGAAAACTACTTACCATGTTTTTATACTTCGAATCTGACATCCGAAAGCATAATATTTCTCTCAGCATTTTTGTTTAGGGCTTCTGTGTACTGCTTCGCTTTATGATTATCGACTGCGGACTGCGAACTGCGGACTGCGCTGCTTTCGCGTATAAGCGAATAACAGCATACAAACTGTTTCGCATACTTTCGTTCTGTTTTGTTCTGTTGATGTTAACCAAAAACAAAGAAGAAAAAAAGTAGACATAAAACAAAAATTAAGCACAAAATGAAGAGAGAATAAATTAAGTATAACAAACAAAAACAACAAAAAAGATATGAAAAAAAGTGAACAAAATAATGTGAATGACGATAAGTGAGATCATTTGTCATGTCAGACTTTAATGTGTACTACAAGCGTGTTTCCATATGGTGAGCAACGAAAATTATATATTTGACATATAAATGATGTACTTTCGAAAAATTTATGTTTTAATTTTATTTTAAAAAATTTATCATCACTATAACTGGATAAAAATAAAATTGAAATAATTTTTATTAGAAATACAAATTTTAGAATTTTCTTTGTTTATTATTATAAATTAATTTTTTATTATAAACAATTGACTTTTATGCTTTGATAACAATAAATTTAGTTTATTATATTGTTTAATATATATTTGTTCTATAATATTAATCGGTGCTTTTTCAGATATTGCAATAACATACATATGTATATACTTATATACTTCATGTAAGTACGGATTTATATACAGCATTTGTTTATTTTAAATTCATACTTTTATTAACTAATTTTATATTAATACAAAAAAAATTTTATTCGTGTGATGCTTTATTGCCAATGTTGTGTATTGGATTCATAACTTAATAATATAAGCCTAAGTATCGCTTATACTCTGTTTACACTTCACAATTAGTGAACCGCAGTTAGTCTGAACAAGATATATGAGAATAAATTTTTCCACCATATCAACTGCGTTAGCAAAAAGTTAAGATTAAATTTATTAAACAAAAATACATATATGTATATAGATAAAGCAAAAATTAATAAATAAAATAATAATAATATAAAATAATAATTTTAAAAAAATTTGACTTAGCAAGTGGAGTTGTTAATTACCATTAAACAACAAAAATTGATAAAACCAGGGTTCAATTTTGACAGAGTTCAATTTCAAAAACTTGTAATTTAAAATATATTTATGAAAAATTTAAGCAATACTTGTTTCCCAAGATTACTAATGATTGGCGTTTAATGGTATCTAAAATAGCTGTCAATATCAGTTCAATAATTCATATAATTAATTTTGATATTTTAAAATATCTGCAGCATTATCAGTGTTCTGTTCCAAATACATTGTCATAGGACACAGTGAATATGAAGATATTAAAGAATATATTAAAGAGATATTTAGAATTCAATAATAAAAAGATCATTACCCCCCTTTTTTGTACGAAACAGAATTTTTTCATAAAACACACTGATGAATACAAAGGAGAATCGAGTTCTGGAAAGAGCCTTGATTATTACTAATTAGTATTACTTTTAAAACGTGTGTTATATTGTTTAGATAATATTTATTTAAATTATTTTGGTTTTGTTCTTGGGATACAAAAAAATATCAAAAATAATTTTTCATTTCATCATTTACCCGAGATTTCGTTGGTCTGAAGAAATAAATAATAATAAACAATATTTACATTAAATATTTAAAGTTAAAATAATAAAAACTTTTTTAAAATTATAACAATAACATAAAAAATATCATATATATGTACTGACATAAATATATTCATAATAATTTGAATTTAAACGATTTATTATTTTTTTTATATAATATTATAGAAATAATTTCTATATTTTTTTTGTTATTATTTTTGTTTATTTAGCTATTTTAATTAAATAACAGTTGCTAACAGAATTGTGACCACCCCTGTTCAGACTGGAAATCTTAATATACATTAATTTAATATTTAATTTAAAAATTAAGGAACAATTTCAGAATATCTTGTATATAGAATTGTTTAAAATTTATAAAAAATTTTTTTTTGTTTAAAATGGTAACATTTAGACATATTGCCTGACTTATTTCGTATTAATTTTGATGCAATTAATTTTGATATTATTACAACTAATATTATTGTAAAATTTTTTATTTACAAATTTTTATATAAAGTTATGAAAATACCAACCCAGTGTTCCAATAGTGCTAAGTGGGTTTTATATCTAATGCAACCTATATTAATACTACTAATTTCATAATTTTTTCAGTTGGCATTATTCCCAACTACATATATATTTTAGTAACTTCGCTTTAGCAATTGTTATCTTTTTAATAATATTTTTTAATGCATTTCACAAGTGACAAACAATATTCTTCTAACCTGAAATTTTTTTTTTAACGCACGCACTGACCATGTGACGAGCCCCTTTTTTACTCAAGTATCAAAGTGCTGTACAGGCTGATATTGCCCGACTGAAAGTGTAGCGCAGACAAACCACAAATAAAATAAAAATAGATTAATTCTTTGTATGAGTCAAAATGTGTATTGTACCTTATCAGAGCTTATACTCGTAGCGTAGGGGTTTTGCAGCAGAGCTGCCACAGCTCAGTAGTCGTACACGTTGTTTTGATAAAGTAAGAACAGCCGGTTCTGTGCAGAAGTTATTTTATTTATTAATTAATATTTTGTATATTAAATAAAAATTAAAAACTGAAATAATAAAAAATAAATTTTAGTAAACAATAAGTAATCGGCATGCCTGTGTGGAAGCGCTGCACTTAAAGTTGGAATTCTAAAGAAATCGCGTGGTTTTCTGTGGATTCTGTTGTATCTCGTTTTTGCCATTTACATTGTGTGGCTGCTACGTCTGCTGTGTTTGCGGCAGTGGCCATGGTGGACTCTACTACAATTTTGCTTGTTGTCATAACAATTCTGACAGGCGTCTTTGTTTGGTCGCGGCGTACATATGTTTACTGGCAACGACGTCGCGTTAAGTTTGTGCGTCCAACACATTTGCTGGGCAATCTAAAAGAAGTGCTGAAGTTGGAGAACTCTTTTGCTCTTCAATTACGGAACTTTTACTTTGACAAGCGCTTCGAGAATGAGCCACTTGTTGGAATCTATTTATTTCATCAGCCGGCGTTGCTGTTGCGCGATCTGGAACTGGTGCGGACTGTGTTAATAGAAGATTTTGTCAGTTTCTCAAATCGCTTCGCCAAATGTCATCAGCACCAAGATAATATTGCTAGATTTAACTTATTTTTTTCGAAAAATCCAGAATGGCGGGAAATACGTACAAGACTTTCACCCGTTTTCACAGCCGGTAAGATCAAGCAAATGTTTGCGCTTATGGAGGAGGTAGGAGCGTCAACAAATCTTAATATACTAAACAACAATTGCTATACTAATGTGTATATTTGCAGATTGGTACCGACTTGGAAATATATCTCAATAAATTGACCAGAAATTTCGAGAAGCATAATGCACCAATTGTGCAGGTTAAGGATATATGTGATCTATACAACACCGATATGATAGCTAGTCTGGCCTTTGGTTTTCGTTCGTATAGCCTGCGAAATACACAAACAGAAATTGGTTTTCATAGTCGACAGATGTTTATGTTGAGCTTTAGACGTGCTATAGATTTTTGTGTGATATTTTTTTTGCCAAAATTTGTTAAATTACTAAATGCCAGATTCTTTGCTGAGGATCATGCAGATTTTCTGCGTCGCACAATAGTCAGCGTCATCAAGGAACGAGAAAATTCCGGTAAAATGCGTAACGATCTCATCGAAGCGCTGCTAACGCTCAAAAAAGAGGCCGATCTTAATCAGGATGAAACACATTTCACACATCAGCCAGATTATTTGGTGGCACAAGCTGCTATATTCGAAATCGGTGGTATTGAGACTTCTGGTGTTATGGCTTTTGCACTCTATGAATTAGCTAAACAACCAAAGATACAGACGCGTCTACGTACAGAGATATGTAGCGCATATGAAGCTTGTTCGGGCAGTTTAACTTATGAAAAAGTTATGGAACTGCAGTATCTAAATATGGTGGTCGATGAAACTCTACGAAAGTATCCACTTTTGCCATTTCTGGAACGTGAATGTACGCCTATTAACAAAAAACGCTTCTACTCATTCCGTCCACATGCCGAGTGTTATGCACGTCGTGGTATGCCCGTGTTCATATCAAATTTTGCCATACACTATGATCCAAAGGTATCTTAAGCTATATTTGTGCATTTTAAAAAATATTTTAATTTGATTTTTTGCAGTACTGGCCCAATCCAGACCTCTTCGATCCAGAACGCTTTACAACAGAACAGAAAAAGACACACAAACCAATGTCGTATTTGCCTTTCGGTGCTGGCCCACACAATTGCATTGGCATGTCCATAGGTCTGTTGCAGCTGAAATTGGGACTCATACACTTCTTACGGGAACATTGTGTAGAATTTTGTGAAAAGACTGTTGATAGCATTGAATTCGATATGAAATTCGCGCTGCTATCAAATAAAGACGGCATTTATTTAAGAATTGTTAAATGTGTATAGATTAGGAACTATTTAATTTTATATTATTTTTAATATTATTAAACTTATTTTATTTTATTATAAATATTTAAGTATATAGTATATATATGTACATGTGTTTTTACTTTTGTACAGTGTGTATGTGTGTAAGGTTTTTGTGTTTTTTTTTTGTAAATAAAAACATTTTTAATAAACAGTTTTGTGATTGTGATTCTCACTATCTGCAATTAATCAATATCGTGTACGATAACTTATCAGTTAGCAGTTTGAACTTGATGGCCTGATGTTCGCTGCAAAAAATGCCCAGTCATACTCAGTATTGCCATTGCCGAACTTACTCAGCCGCCTTCTAACCGCCTTTGCTTTTGCTTTAGGCACTTTCGTTTGTTGTGCTGCTGCTTTTAGCTTGTGTGCTTCATATTTATTTACTTCAATTTTTTTAATAACAGGTTTTTTTTCTTTTTTGTTTGTTTTTAGTTAGCATTGATCTCCGTTTGCTTTGCTCAAATAATGAAAAAAGCACTCTCCTTTGCTTTGCTTTGTCATTTGTGACCTCTCTTCGACGCAGCGCATACTAATGCTATTGCGTCATGAATAATTTCTTCTCAACATAATCACTTGCAATGAGTGTTATTACTTTTAATACATTTTCATCCTCTCCGAAATTAGAGCAACAACAGTGGAAGCAGAGCGTACATGCAGCAGCGTACATGGCGGCAGCAGCTCCAAATACAATATTTCACAGCAATCAAAATAAAGCAAAAAACCAAAAATATTTTTATAAAAGAAAATTAAAGAACGTTATTAAATGTTTTCAATTGTTTTGTGGCGAAACTTGTTTATTCACCCTACGATTTATTGGGCGTCATATGGACTTTGTTCAGAGCTTCGTTTTCATACTGAGCAATATGTAAATTTTGCTTTATTTATAGGCATTTCGAAACTAGTTCTATTGACCAGTTGGCCAGGTTTATATTAACAGTTATCGAGCTGAGTGTTTATTAATTTTTTTCTATTTATAACGTATAATGATTATTTCTTCGCTGTTATTGAGGCTGTAATTAATTAACCGGAAACTATTTAATGACTAATGAGTTGATTTGTAGTATGATATTTCTAACACGTGTAAGGTGCTTGTGCTATAATAAAAAAAAAATACTTCACTGTTTGACCCTATAAATATAATTTAATTGGCAACTTTAACTTAAATATTACAACATACCTTAATTATTATAACAGCTTAAACCTTTCAAAACTAAAATTTTAACAAGAAATCGTTTAGGCACGACTAACTCATTTAAATGCAAGTGAAGTAACCTGACAAGTCTTCACTTCTCGTATATGTTTCTTAGGTAAGATAAGAGACAAAATTGACATTTTTTATTTTTGAATGACTTCAGTTTAATTTGCGTCTCAAACTTGCAACATATTCTATTCCTACACATGTAGGTCTCTTACAACAACGGGTTAAAGTGTATAAATAGGGGTTTTAAAGAGGTAATAACATGTTTTTTTTAGAGTTTCCACATGTGGGTCTTTGGCAACAAATGGTTAAAGCTTACAAACATGGGTTTTAAAGTGGTAATACTTTTTTTTGATTAAAAGATACAGTGGTTTTAAAGGGGTAATACTTCTTTTTGAATAAAATTTACAAATTTTATGTTTTTAGTAAACTTGATATAAATAAATAGGTCAGTCAATATTTTTGTCTGAGACTTACTTTCCTAAATTTCATCTAAACGAGATGGATCACAATTTTTAAACTTTAATCCGTTACTAGTAGAGATCCTAGATTGTCTGTGTTGCAAATTTGAGCTCAATAGTTTTATTATTAAACTAAAATTCTTCAGAATTAAGTGTCTGACAGTGATAGAATATTATTAATATGGACGTATCCATAGTCTATAGTTCTCTATCTCTTTTAATGGGATAACTTCTGAGAATTCAAACTCAATTCAACGTTTATATGAAGACATTTCTTTAAAGCAATATTTATATCTAATATAAGATGGACTAAAATATTTTAGATTTTTAAATTCCAAAATCTTTTAGGTTCCATGAGGCTTTAGCATGCCACTCTATATGCAGTAACAGTTGCGACAGCTTTTGGTTCCCAAGCTAGAGTTCTATATGTGCTGTTGTTCGATTGGGCCACAAAATTTGAAGATCGAGAGACTAAATCTAGATTGAACCCAGTTTTACCAATCGAAAATGCCATAAATAAAAGAGACCGAGTTATCGAATGCCACACATTTTACTCTAATGAAAATAATACATGCAATACTTTATTCAAATAATGAAAAAAACTATATGTACTTTTCCACTAAAACTTCTACAATATTCTCATTTAAAATTCGCGCGCTGTATATTTTCCGATATTTTAAGTTTATGTAGTTTGGCAGCACTGTCCTTAATTACTATGCCAAAAATGAGCGCGATCTGTCAGACAGTTCGTTTACGGCAGCTGTTGAAACCAGTTCACCTCAGTAGTGCGTTGCGAAAAAAACAATGGAAAAAAATATTGAACAAAGAGTTTGCATCAAATTTTGTGTTTCGAACGAAATTTCGTGTGCAGAATCGTTGCGAATGCTACAAAAGGCTTATGGGGAATCAGTTTTATCGAAAACTCAAGTTTATGAGTGGTACAAAGCCTTCCAGGACGGTCGTACGACCGTCGAAGACATTTCGCAACGCACTACTGAGGTGAACTGGTTTCAACAGCTGCCGTAAACGAACTGTCTGACAGATCGAGCTCATTTTTGGCATAGTAATTAAGGACAGTGCTGCCAAACTACATAAACTTAAAATATCGAAAAATATACAGCGCGCGAATTTTAAATGAGAATTTCCGAAAACTTTTCAGTCTTAATGTATGTACTTTTCCACTAGAACTACTACAATATTATTACCACAACGGGCCATTATTTGTGCTCAAGTGAGCTTTCTTGGTAAACAAGACCGCCAATCCAATCTAAACTAACTACTATTATGTACTTATATATTGTTTTAACAATTGTCTTAATTTTTTTCACTATTTTCCATTTACTTAATTTGACAAATTATGAAAATAGGGGAAAAATTTATTTCAGAGAACTACAATCAAGCGTGTAAGTACGCAAGTATGAATGTAAGTAAGTAAGCAATCAAGCATGCAAGTAAGTATTTGGTGAAGTAAATAGGACAGGTTCAACTGGATTGTAGGGAGTACATATGATTCTTAAAATTTACTAACTGAATGCTAATCTAACAAATAAAAAATCCTTTTTCACGTATATTTGTTATGTTTGCGGTGGCAGATGATTCCGAGAAGCTAAAAATAAAAAGCCAGAAAGTGGCACAAACTCTTTTCCTAACCGACATAGCATTTAACAAGTCGCAGTGAGGTAATATTTAGGCAGGAATGCGGCTATATACCCTTATGGTCCAAGCTGGCTTACTCCTTTGATTTGGTATGCATAAGTACACACAAGCTGAAACAGTGAAAACCCTTTTAGTGGCAATATTTGCGGTTGTTCTTGTTGTACCTCGGCTCGGGTGCTGTTTGCTCTTCGCGATACAATAAAAACTCAACTCTTTGAATGAAAATAGGAATAATTGTTGAAAAATAGGAGATATATGGATGGTATAGTGGAATACAAAAGGATAGAATAGAGTAGAGTTGTAAGTTTTCAATGGAATTCACACAAGATGCACCCGCACGTATTTATCGTTAAAATTTATTGGTGTTAGGAGCAAATTGCTGTTAGGGGCTTTGAGCAGTTTTTAGCGGCTTCGCATGGGGGTGATTGTTTGTTTGGCATTTCAGTGTTAATGTTGTAGGTGCAACGTGTGCAGGACATACGTTCCAACTATGCTAATTACGGATTACGGCTTTTGGCTACATCAGGTAAACCAAAAATAATTGGTTATTTCTTGCTAAAATAATTGACCTAAGAACATTACACGTAAAAGAGTTGCGACAAGCGTTGGTGGTCTGTGTATAGACGGTAATGGAATCTTCAAAGGAGTATATATATATATTAAAAAAAAAATAAAAAAAATTATAAAGTAATTAGTTTTAAATATAGCAAAATGTTATTAATAACTTAACGGCTCAGTAGGTCTGCTTAATTAGTAGGAGAATCGTAAAAATTTAATTGAATTTCGCTTTTTGAACGTTAGTGTAAAATAGCACCAACGGATCTTCCTTTTTTTATATCCGTGACATATAAATTGCTTAATGACAATTGAATGACATAAAAAACTACAATTTCCGGTTGGGCAATCCTTGCAGTTGGGGTTACATCGCTGGCATTACCCGTAAAACAAATAAAGTTACACATGCGCATTGAACTTGCGCGCAATTAAGTCTCATTAAAACTGTTCCACCAAGTGGAATTGGAAGTGGAAGACAATTTGGAAACTAATTTTTCGTTTTGGCCACATTTAAAATGACATGTGAGGCTTGAAAACAATAGAATTACTGGCCAATAACATTGACCGCCGCTCTCGGTCATGGTGAATGGTGAACACGGTAACAACAATGGCCATAAAAAACAACTGTCGTTTCGGTTTTGTTTGGTAGAATGCGAGGGGAGCCACTCGTGTACGTCAGTTGGTTAGCCTTTACTGTGGGATACTTTGAAAGGTTAATTAAAACTAAACGTTTTCTAAATGAACATTTCAAAGTGTTAAACACTTTGAGTTGTTTTTTTTTTGTTTGTTATCAAAATTTGTACCAACAATGTAAGCTGTCACTAACGTGTTTGTGATAAAAAAAGTTTATATATCTCCGAGTTCAATATTAAATGGTATTCTTTGCCTTACATAATTTTTACCGGTTTAAAGTTTATGTTATACTAAATACTTATAATAATAGATGATTGCGAAAATGTAGTATATCTGAGGTGTGAAGTGATAATAAAATATATGGGATAGTAGTATCGTGCCAAGTATGTGATTGCCAAAATAAGTTAATTAACAAAACCATAAGTGATATTGCAGAATACGACAATCTTTCACAATATTGAATTACATATATCAGTGATGCATCCGTGG